GTGTGTGTTTGTGTGTGTGTGTGTGAGAGAGAGAGAGAGAGAAAGAGAGAGAGTTTGGAAGTGGGTGTTTAAACCCTTTGTGATTAATTAGTTCTTAATGTATCTATGTTTGTTCAGCTGTAGTGGAGGCTGGTCATGTACATCATTTTATGTTTCTAGTACTTGGGGCTTGTAGTTATTTTTTACAGTTTTTATTCAGCCTGTCTTATTCATTAGAGTATAAGCTCCTGAGGGCAGTTGGAATGGTCTTTTAATTAGTTTCTGTAGATTCCCAATGGATTCTAAGTCAATGATAGTGTCTAACTCCAGTCAAGTGTTTATATGGCCAAAGTCACAACATGATTGGCCTGAGTTTCTAACCCTCATTAACCTGTTTCGTCTCAGGCCTCATACTACTTGATAAAACAGGAACTGGGCCTTTATAAAGAAAATATACATGCCAGAATTACATTTAGTTATTTTATAGGTGGTGCAAAATAAACAAAAATGCACTTGCTGTTCTTTTATCCCCCAATTCCCCACTCCCGGTCCTTGTGGGTGCGCATGAGTGTACATATTGATAGCAAGGGCATGGTAAGCTGAATATTCAGTTTCTCCTGGCTGCCTCCCCTTTCCTTTCTCTTTCTAGGTCTTCTGGCACTTGCTTCTCTTGCTTCTCCACAGTTATGCCACTAAATGGAAACTTTGAGGGGACGACCTGAGGACATTCCCTTTTATTTATGAGGTTTAGAGTTCTGGTATGTTAGACTGGTTGGGGAGAGATTATAAGTTCAAAGGTGAGAAGAAACAGCCTAAAATATGTTAGAATATTAAAAAATAACTGACTTAATGTGAAAAATGATATTGTGACTCACAAAAATAAAGAGATTGATACTCTGGGGAAGTAAGTCACCTAGTACCAAGATTTACACACACATACACACACACACTCTTGCCCTGGCCCTGAAGGATGCTTTGGGGAAAGGAGCACTTTGATTAAAAAATTCTTTTGGGTCCAGCACCATGGATTTCCTCCTTTCCACCTGTAGTACTCCCCAGCCCTGCCTGGAGGAACAAAGATGTGAGATAATGGAAGAGCAAAATCAAATACAGGAAACAGATCATGCTGAAATAAATCACATTAAACATCATTCTTTGCACATTGTCTTCTCATTACTTTGTCCACTTCCTTCCTTCCTCTGGTACGATGCTTTCCCTTTTTGACACGGGGCTAATTTTACCGGATTAAGGACATTAGAGCAAGAGTTAGTACCTCCTATTTTAGAGACACCCAATAATTTGGACAGAGAGCAGCTCTTTTGCTGATATCAAACAACTCAATCACAAAGACCAATAATTTGCTGTGCTTAGGCACTTTTGCAGAGAGGGTTTATTCTACCTCTGCTGTCTGCACGCAGCTGTCTCTTCCTCCCAATTCTAATCAATGTAAATTGGGTCAGATCTCCGCTGTGAATTACAAATTGGATCCGAAGTTGGAGGGTCACCATGCCTGCTACTCCACCTCCTTCCCACCACCATTAGATGGGAAGCTACACCAAAGATCTTTTCTAAATAAATCAGACTTTATTGTAAAACTTGGCCACTGACGAGACATAACCTCATTAGCATTGATTTTAAAATAAATTATTGAAAGTGGCTTGCCTGCTCTTTGCATTTGCAAAAAAGGAGAATGTAAATGTATTTGCAATGATAAAAATGAAACGTAAAACTCGATTCCTTTATTCTTTCAGGCAACAGCACTTAATCTAGTCATGATACAAAAAAAATGGGAAAAAATAGAATCTGTTCTGTGAAGTTCAATTCCAGACCAGATACTCTGGTTTCCCCTGCACCTTTGGAGTCACCTAGAAAGAAAGCTGGCCAGGAGCTTATATATCATTCACCACCATTACTAGGCTCCACAGTGATGGATGTGCAGGGGGAAGCTCCAGTCCCCACATCTGTTCTATGTAGCATTGTCCTTCCTGGGTGGCTGAAAGTCGGCCCAAGTCAAGAAACCTTGCAGTTGATGGAACAGTAGCTGTACCTCTGGGGTCTTTGGAAGACTGAGGATGGGGCACTGTGGTGTAGTGAAGGAAAGCACCTTCCACAGCTGGTTGTGGAAAGCACACCCCTCAACACCTTCTTGGCTTCAGAGGGCACCGTACAGAGAGGTGTGCCATTTATCTAGGACCCTTCTGTGAACACAAACTGATATCTCGCAAGCTCCAAAGTCGAGACAACGGATTATATGGCAATAAGAAAAAACGAAACGAAACAAAACAAAACAAAACAAAAAAAACCCCAAGTCTTTCTGCTTGAAAATGGGGGTGAATTAGGTGGCTAAATTTCTCACTTTTGTTCATCTGTCATGTGAGGCTTTATTTTAAAAGACTATTTAGAAAAATATTTTTTAGGCTAAAGAGCTCATTGAACTTCTTGATAAGAATATTATTAGGCATTTTAGCATTACATCTACTGAAATATATCTTCATTTAAGAGAGAATTAAAATTTATGTGCTAGCTCAACTTTAAACAGTAATAGATTATAATGGTCCTTGCTTCTAACAGGGCATATGGGACCCCAACCTTACATAGGTTTTAAACAAATTAACCTCTGAAGATTACTGCCCACTTATTACATTAAATGCTCTACTTGATTCCCAAATATCTCATCTCAATTGGGAAAACAGTTGAAGAAGATTCTGTTAACTGTGCGAACATGTAAGAGAACCATGGGGCATCGCAAATGAGCATCAGTATCCGGAGAGTCGATTTCAATCAACATTCTTGGCACTATGTCAGGGACACTAATGAGAGGCTGAGAAGAACAGGACACGGAATCCACCTAGGAGGGACAGAGAGGAGCCAGCTTCTCACGACACCTGGCTCCTTTCTGAAGTGCTCCTCTGATACCCCTCTGACATCGGCTAACACAATATCAGAAAGAATAACATTTAAAAAAGGACTAGCTCAGAAAGAGGGGAAATCATCTCTCCCCAACCAAGCAAAGTGACAAAAGCTCAAAAAATGGCAGTTGTACCAATGTGCAACCAGATGTCAAGGTGCTCTGGTGACAGATGCAACAGAAATACAGAGAGACTGCAAGTGCAAAGGGGAAAAGCAGAAAAGTGGTTACAAATCACTTCATGATGTGCACAAGACATTGTTACTCATGGGCGCTGTTGCATCTCTTCAGATAATGTAGGAAAAACAAGAAAACTGGGGGAGGTGTTGTATGCCTCTAATTCCAGCAACTCAGGAGGCAAGGCAGGAAGGTTGTGAGGTGCGAGACTTGCTTGAGCTACTTTTCTTTTTTAATATTTATTTTTTTGTTCTAGGTGGACACAATATCTTTATTTATTTTTATGTGGTGCTGAGGATCGAACCCAGCGCCTTGCTCATGTCAGGCCAGCGCGCTACCACTTGAGCCAAATCCCCAGCCCCCAGCTTGAGCTCCTTATTGAGACCCTGTCTCAAAATAAAAAAAAATAAAAAAGATTGGGGATGTAGCTCAGTAGTAGAGTGCTCCTGGGTTCAATCCCCAGTTCTTCAAAACAAAACAAAACACAAAACAACTCTTTGCCACTACCGCCTCCCCACTGCAAAAAAAAAAAAAAAAAAAAAAAAATCAAGAGGCTAATAACACCTGTGATTCTCTGTGGTTTATTAGGTTATCTGAACTGTTATCTCAAAATACTTGCATCCTATCTCTGTGGAATGGTTGTGTGTGTGTGTGTGTGTGTGTGTGTGTGTGTGTGTGTGTGCGTGCGTGCACACACATGTGGTTTGGGTGCTGGGGATTGAACTCAGGGCCTTATGCCTGCTTGGCTCTACCATTGAGCCACATCCCCAGCCCAGTGTGGTCCTGATGTATAAGATATTAAACTCAATCTATGCTCACGGCAACACTTGGAATGGACTGAATTTAATTTCACAAATAATAACTGAGCACCTATTAACTGGGGATAAAGACATGAATACAAATCACTGTAATAAGAACTAAAAGCTTAATGTCAGTTGAGTATCTGGGAGGGTATCACCGAGCAGGATCCATTTGAGCAGAACGTGTAGGGGTTTTATAGGTTGAAATGGGCCCGGGCAGTCTAGGTAAAAGGAACAGCATGGTTCCAGCTGACCCTGGCCTATCAGCCCTTGTGGTTGGGGCTTGGTGTGCAGGGCATTGAGATAAACAGCCAGAAGTCTTGAAGGAGGCTGGTGACAATGTCCACTCTTCATGAACTTTTGTCTTTATTTTTTCTTGGGCTCTCTGACTATCACCATTCCTCCTTCCTATGGGTCTGGACAACTGTACAAGGGGAAAAATAATTCCACAGAATGTTTGTTTTCATTTGACTCTAATTAAAAAAAAACCAGTTATATGCTTTATTATAAAGCACTCTGGTTTCTGGGTCTATAATAACCCCCTGGGGCGCTTTGGGCAGCTTCAGAATGTGCATAGAAATTCTCAGGGAGGGCTCTTCGTTTTCCTTTCTGTTTGCTCTTATCTCTCTAGAGAACACAGGTTGATTCAGTTGCTTTTGTAGCTGTGACAAGGCCCCAGTTACAGCTCTTCCTTCAGGTACCTTCTTGGCTTCCAGTCTTGAGACCCCAGAAAAGAAACCTGATAAAAGCTGTCCTTTGATGGAATCTGGAATCAGGGAAATGGGCCTGTATTGGTCTGCAAAATAACTTCAGGGGATATAAGAAAGGGTTCAGAAAGTTTCCCATTTTCTATGTATGGCTTTAGCATTTCTTTGAGGTAGCTCCCTGAAGTTTAATCTACTACAAATGAGATCCTAAAAATGAAAGGCCCCCATGTGCTCAACATGGATGTTCAGCAATCCCAGTGGATACCAAGCTTGAAACAGTATTTTCCAGGATTAACATTTTTGTGGTCTGGCTGAAAACCTTGAGTGCTCTGGTTTTCCCTCTTGGGGAAAAGAATTCTAGCCATGTAGCAAATGCGAATTATTTCATGATTAATGTGATATAGTGCATTTAATTTGATGACCCATACATTATTTTGACCAGGAAAAAAAATTTTATTTTTTATTGACTTGATATATATTCTGTACTCTTTTCTCTCTACTAGGAAGACCATATCAATGACACTCTGGAAGGATCTCACTTACATGGCTTTCCCCATAGACACAGTGAAGGCTCAAGGAGCTGGGGATGTGGTTCAGTGGGAAAGCACTTGCCTGGCATATATGAGGCCCTGAGTTCATTCCCTAGCACCACAAAGGAAAAAAAAAAAAAAAAAAAAAAGGACAGGGAGGGCTTATGTAGGTCCCATTCCAAAGAAGAGAATTAGCAGAATCACCAATGCTAAATATCCTTCACAAAGCACATTTACCTGTTATAATGAACTGAATGAGAGGCCCAAGTCATTTGACTATTGATGGGTATGCAATGTTAGCACAATCCGACGTTACCGTCCGCTGTCCCTCCACCCAGCACCTGGCCTCGCAGTAAAAATGGGCCTGAGCAGAAGGTGCGCTCCACATTCCATCTGCTTGGGATTTTCAATTTCACCTGCTTCATACACATAGCTGCAAATGCCCAACTGGACTGTCTCAGGTCTGCTTGGTGAGGGCGGGGACCTAGCCATCCCCCAGCTTTTCAAGCCATAAAGCCTCTTTAAATACCACCAGATCACTTTTCGGCCTTTTGGCCAAGATCAAGTGTAGTATCTGTTCTTGTCAGTTTTAAATGCCACCAGGTTAATAGTAGCCAGCATTTACTGAGGACTCCCACATGCCAGGACTCTATGCTGAGGGCTTTATATATGTCAGTTCTAGACTTTTTCACCATATCCCTCTAGGATAGTAGCTATTGTTTTCCCCATTTTACAAGGGTGACAATTAGTGAGGGCAGGTAACTTGCCTGAGGGCTCACGAGAACAGGCAGCAGCACAGATCTATCGTGACATACAGCCAGCTTTGCACCTGTAGTGCCGGCTGTCTCTCATATGCCTCTGCTCTGTAGGTGGTCTTATGAGATGGTGGCAGAGGGGAGACACTGCTAGGCCCCTCACCTTCCCTCTCAATTCCTCCAGGACTAGTGATGTGGCACATGCAAAACTCAAATCCATTTCCGAAGCAACAAGAGTGGAGTGGAAAGGAAGCTGGGTGATGGGATTGTGTGGCTGCAATATACATATGATAATTAAATGTCCACTATCCCATCTTCAATGCTGTCTTTCAGGACTCTGATGGATAGAGGCTTTTTGGAAAGAAACCGTTGGCTGTACACATTGTCCTTTGGAAACATATGCAAGTTAATTGCTGTTTCGCTAACCTACAGAAAGAGACCCAGGCTAAAGCTTTGTGGCTTTCCTCACTCCTAATGGACAGTAGTTGTGGACTCAGGGTTAGTGGTTAAGAGACGTAGACTAGTCTCCATGCCCTTGGGTCCACTCCAATACTCAATTGGTGAGAATTTTGGAGTAATGCCCCATAACTTGGCAGTACCACAGTGACTGAAGGTAAGAGTTTAGGAGGCAGGAGAATCGTGGCTGCTAAGAAGACAGTTATAGATTCATTGCCCCCACCTGGGGTAAGTGGGGGATGAGCCCAAATTCATCTTATTTTCTGAGGCCTCTTTCCCTTTGCTCTCTTAGTTCTGCATCTCTGAGCCTCTCCCCTGGCTCCTTTGAGAACTATCCATGGTGCATAAAAGGCCCTTCCATTGTACCCCAGAAGGCTGAGTGGTTCAGGGAGGTTTTCCCAGAGCACTCTTCCACAGCTGTAACCTAAAGTGGAGTGTCACCTGGCCTTTTCCTGAGCCTGGGCAGGAGTGAGCAGAATGTGAGCTCACTAGGAAGATCCTGGCCAAGTTGGGGAGTGCATCTCCTTTTAGGGAGTGTTGTGAATTAGATCCATTTCTGCACCCTGCTGTTGCAATGGAGCAGGCTGTGAAAGGGAAGATTCTCAGAGGAGCTGTGTTTTAATGTAGCAATTTGATTCAATTTTCCACTCTATAAAATTACCCATCACTGCTCGTTGCTTTCTAACAGACACCTTCACTCTTAATTTAACAATCCTATCGAATTCTGCCAGGGAAATTGGAAAAATTTATCACCTGTGAAATTTTATTTTCCTTTGGTTGTATCTGTTTTTGTAAAACTTCATTAACGACGATGACTTGCTGAGGAAATTATCATTTTTTTTTTTAACTTCAGACACAAGAAATGGCTCGACCTCAACCAAGATATCATTTGCATAATAAAACACAACAAAAAAAGGCTGGGGAAGTGGGGACTGGCAGAGGTTGGAAGTAGTAGGAGAAGAAGCAGGCTCTCCTTGGTGGGGACGTGTAGCCACAGCCCTGCTCCTTGATGCAGGGGACAATGACATGGCTTCTCTCCTAGGGAAGAGATGAAGGCAGAATGCAGAGTTAAGGGGGTTGTACCCTCTTCTGAGGAAGGCTTGAAATGTGTTGCCTACTGATGATGCTTTTAACAACTAGCCCTGTCTTCAGGGGCCTGAGTGTTAGATTCACCTTAGTTCCTAGGTTCATTTGAGATGGAGGTTTAAATTGCTATAAATTTAGGCTTAACTTGAATTTCTTAGCAGAGCACTGAACTCCTGGCAAATTTCCACAGGCATGCTCTTTCTGAATGGACTTGAAGATTCAGCGTTCCTGTGGTCTAAGTACCTCACAATTAAAAGGCTCAGGCTTTGGTTTTTCCACAGTCTGACCCCCACTGTGCTCTGCACTGTTCGCCAGCTGCCGATCCCGACCAGAAGTGGCTCTGTGGAAGCAATGATGACTCTACATTTTCTGAGGTGCCACTTATTCTGCCTTTGGACAGAAAGTCATCGACAGCTTAGAGTTGCTGCACGGTGGGCAGAGGAGATACATGTCAGGCTTATGCTTGAGAGTTGTGATTTGTTTCTAGGTAATAATGAGTTGTGCTGGTGGGGTTTTACTGGATCACACAAAAGGGTGGTTAGCATTTATGTATTTCAGATTTCAAAATCCTTCATACTTTGGAGGCAACTTTCTGTCACCCTCACAGTTCCACAGAAAAGATGTTGAAACTAGAGGATTTTTGATGACTGACCCCCAAACTCATGGTAAGCAATGAACACCAATATGGGTATTCTTGAACCCTTGAACTTTGTTGACATAAATGATAGAGGACTTCATGTGGCACAGATGAGACAATCCTTGATCAAACTCATCTTGCTCCCAGAGTAAGGCAGAGGCTCTATAAGAGCTTGAGAATCATGTTTCCCTACATTCTCTCCTTCAGAGGATGAAGTTTAGATCTGGCTTCCTTAGGAGTTTCCAAAGTTATGTTCTTGCACCAGGTCGAATTTCTGAAACGAGGGGGATATAATTAGGAGATGAAATTTCTCACCTGGTAAGACTTCATAAATATCCTCTTCTTTCTCCTCTGTAGGATCTTTTATCCCCACACTCCCAGGCAAGAGAATGGGTCTGCACTGGGAACCAGAATTTGGAGAGTCAAAACCATCAATATCATCATACATCTCCTCCTCCTCTTCTCCTTCCTCTTCCTCCTCTTCACATGGGATGGTTAAAGAGCTCAGATCTGCCAGGGCAAAGATGGGAATGAATCAAGGTAGGGAGCAAAAGAAAGGAGTGAGAAGGCAGGGAAGGAAAGAGGAAGGAGGAGGGGGGAAGAGAATAAAACATGTCAGAAGAAAATGAAACACTAGGTTAAGTGCTGTTATTTCTAATGTGGGCCTTGGTGGCAGGAAATCTACAGAAAAGGCCAGACCAGCACTGCATCAGGTTTAAACCATCAACATAAATCCTTCCTTGCAATAAAACTTGATCAGGATGAAGCAGCCCTGAATAGTATGGGTGTGTGAATGGGAACATGAGGTGAAGGGAAGGAAATAGGACAGAAGAGGAAATGCCAGCATGCCACGCACTGGACGGGAGAGTGATGGCCTGCAGTTTTCCAGGGCACACAGAGCCAGGGCCTCCATGGTGGCTTCTTCTGTAGGGTGTCTGAGCTGTCAGAAGCCCATCTCCCCAATGATCTCATCGCAGAATTTCACACAAGTTTGTTTGCAGAGAGTGAGAGAGAGAAAAAAAAAATGGGAAAAAGTGGAAGAGGAAACCAAATGGGGTATGGTGAAAAATAACAGTAATCCGAGACCAAATGGAATGGCTGCACAGTGCAGTTACCACGTCCTCTGGCAACTGTACAGGCTGGCTGACCTTAAGTGGGTCACTGCGCAGAGGATGTTGGACCATTACAGCGCTGGGGAGCACCAGGGCAGGGGAGGGAGATTGGTTTTTATTTTGATGGGGCACTGGGAAGGCTCATTCTCTGAGTAGCACAGAGTGCTCTCTGAAACCCTGCTGAGGGGCCCCGACAGAATGGGCGAGTACAGTCAGCAGACCCTGGGGAAGGGAAGGATGGAGAAACATCCGATGTTCATTTCAAAACACAATAAAACTGTTTGGCTTGATTAGGCTTTTAATAAAGGTTTTGCAACAATTTTCATCTGAATTCTGGTGCCACTTCATATGAGAAAAAGGATCAAAGACACATTTGTGGCTTAAACCATATGTTATTATTTTGTTTGTTTTAAAATAAAATGGAATGAATAATTTCTTCAATGTGGGATTCTGAAAGTACCACAGGGTACAGCTCAATAAAGCTGCTTTGAGTTTTATTGAGGTTTACACACTTAGGGGTATATTACACGCATAAATCCAAGGCACCTAGATGAGAGTGTACCCTGTAGTCTTGCCATCAATGTTCATGTTTGCCTAGTTCCAGTCTATTATACGTGACGCTGCTGGTGGATGCAATACTTTGTTTTTGTGATAGCAAAGGCATAACTGAGTAAAACAGGCAATTCTTGTAATTAAAGCTCGGGTGCTTGCTCCTTCTTATCCACAATAAAATCTTGCACTAGAATAAAATCTGTGAAGAGAAAGTTTGGAGTTTTCAGGTTGACGTGCTTCTCCCTGTGTCTTGGGCCCAGTATGAAGTTGGTGTTCCTGTCTTTCTGTAAGATAGGGTCCTGCCATGAGGGTACCTGAGGGTTACCTGATGCCAAGTGATTCACTCAAGGTGAACTGCTTCTATCTGCCACATTGCCACTCCCAGGAAAGGCTTCTTGGGCCACTGTTACTGCTGTGCCTGCAGGCTGGCCAGCAGAGGGTACTCTAAGAGCAGTCATTTAATATCTTCAGGCAGGACTTGTCCCATCTCAAAGCAAGGAACATTTTATTGTGGCTTGGGAAATAGCAAGTTGTTTGTAATGTCCAAAGTCTCTGGTGACCATCTATATTAATTTAGATTTCTACTTCCTAGGAAGACTGAAAAAGAAGAAGATTTTGGACCTTGTTTGCAATTAAAATGGCTCTAAGTTGGATATTATGAATTTTCTTTCCAGAATGAAAGGGGTTTTAGGAGGCAGTGAATTGGGCTGAGCTGGTTTTCAGGATCCCATTTTCAGTGATTATGAGTAGTAAAGTCTTGTCTGTATGTCAGGTGATGAGCTATGATATTAGAGGTCATCTCCAGGTTGATGATTTCCTTACTTTCTGAACCATACACAGTAGTTTTTGTTAAAATGTGGGCATATGGTGGGGAGGGTAGAGACGAGAAAGCAGGAAAAAACACACATGGAAACTAGCTGATACTTATGCAGATCCAAATATTATGTATTTCAAAACAGTAACACTTACCCTTTAATAAGAAACTTATTTGATCCACCCAGTCTCTGGCTTCAGCTGGACTAGTAGCTGTAAACTACAGAAAAAAATTTGCAAATTAATTTATCACCTTCACTAAAATTTCCATGCATCTTGATAAGGAAGCCCAGGGGAAGTTATCTGTGAGTTTTCATCAACTTTAAAGCTCAGGATTCTCTGCTTTAGCTTAATATTTAGAAAGATGACCAAATATTAAATTCAAACCATTTTTTTCCATCAGCAATTTTGCATACCCAGATATTAGAGCTCTTTAAGTCCAGATATTTATGTCTATGTCTATTATCTATTCCTTCATGTGGCATTTATTTGAGAAAAATTTACCAGGGGCAGGGGAAAGCAAAGCAATATGTACATGAGATGAAAACATCACAAAGCAGATACATTTGATAATAATGGAACTTTTTCCCCCCCTTTTCAGTGCTGGGGACAGAACCCAGTCCTTGAGCAAGCTAGGCAAGTGCTCTACCACTGAGCTACACCTGCAGCCCACAACTGATTGTTGTGAGTAGACAGGGAGCATTTATTGTTGCCAGGAGCAGATTAGGGAAGCTTGCTGAAGCAAAACTCTTTTGACTGGATTTTTTAAAAAATATTTATTTATATATATTTTTATGACACTGGAGATTTAACCCAGGGGCACTTTATCACTGAGCTACATCCACAGGTCTTTTTAATTTTTTTATTTTGAAACAGGGTCTCACTAAGTTCGCTAAGTTGCTGAGGCTGGCCTCAAACTTGTGATCTTCTCCCTCAGTCTCTGTAATTTCTGAGATTACAGGTGTGCACCATCACCAGGCTGGTTGGATTTTTAAAAAGCATTGGTGGAAACTGGTGGAGGGAGCCGTTCATTTCAGGTAGGGATAACTATGGGCAAGATTACAAGAATGAGAACATCATGTGTGGGGAAGACAGGAAGATGACCAGCTTGCCTGGCGAATAATAACAGATGGAAGTTGAGGGTCAGAGAAGAGTTGGTAGAAGGGCTCTGAGTGACAGAAATTCAGAAATGTAGGCAACAGGAAGCTACTACCAATTCTAGCAGAGGGAGAGGGTGACTCTTTCAATAGTTTGGGTAGGAGGGATTAGAATAGACAACTCTGGAGACAGAAGATCAACTAGAAGGCTGTTGAATTTGTCCTCTAGGTGAAACAAGAGGGACTTAACTATCGGGATGGCTGTGAGAATAAGAAAGGTAAAGATTTAAAGGCCACTGTAGAGGAAGAATCCACAGACCACAGTAATGATCTGGATTCAATGGACCAAAGAAAAGAAGTAAACAAACTACATTTTGATTAATAAAACAGGTCGGTCAAGCATCAACCCTTCATGATTAAAAAAAAAAAAAAGAATCATCTTGAAATAACTGTTTCTGAAAAACATTTTAATTATCTGGTCATTAGGATAACATAAAGATATATGTTGTATAAGAAACCTAGGTTCCTGTATGATGCTTATGTTAATAGACCCTATCATTCTTAGTTCCTTAAAAGCACATTTACTTTTTGTTTTTTCAAAAATTTTTTTTAGTTGTCAATGGGCCTTTATTTTATATTTATTTATTTGTGGTGCTGTGAATTGAACCCAGTGTCTCACACATGCTAGGCAAGTGCTCTACCACTGAGCCACAACCTTGGCTCCAAAGCACACTTCAATAAAAAACTTTCTAGGAATATTGGCTTAGAATTTTCATATCAACTTTTATCAGATGTAGTATCATCAGAATTTAATAATAAAAACAACTCAGAAACATATGCAATGCATACGTCTGTGTTATATAATGTTTATAAAGAACTCCATAGAAAAGCTTTAGTTTAAGTTTTTAAAAAATTCTAGAAATTACATAATGCAGACCTAGGTCACATAATAAAATAAGGGTTAATATACTGTAGAAATATAAAAACGTTAAAAGCTGAGAAAAATCTGAGGAGTCAAAGGGTTACTTAAATTGGTAATTTACTTTTAGCATGCTTTTTCTTTTTCGTAAGTTAGCTAGAGCTTTGCTAACATTGCTTTAACAGAACTGTGGTAAAATAAAATTATCAAGTAGGAAACAATATACACACATATAAAAAATATTTTTAGTGAAAAAAATCCATATATCTCTACAGTCTTACATTTTTATTATTTCAATTTATTTTATAATGGGTAATAAATGCACGAGGTAAAGATTCAAAATATATACAAATGAACACAGCAAGGAATGAGTTCTTGCTCTGACAAGGTCCTCTAGCCTCTCAGTTATCATTATTACTACTAAGTGACCACTGTCACCAGCGTCTTAAAACTCCTTTCAGAGATATGCAATGCATCCAAATATAGGAAGGCTGTTTTGGATAGCAAGATGAATATGATACAACAAATAACTTCTTAGGATAGAGTTAGATTTTCCTTTTTCCTACTTTTATGGAAGAAAGTAGGGATAATCAGTTGAAAAATAAGCATGGGGATTACAGCCGTGAAACTAGAGACGATGAGTAAGGGTTTTGATGGTGCGCTGCTGCGGTGAACAGGAATCTCACCTGTAGGGTGACACAGGGAAGGGGAGGGATGAAGAGAGAGAAGCCAAGTGAAGTCATTGTCTAGGATGAGTGTGGCAACAGAAGGGAAGGGAGGCTGTGACGTAGCAAAGGTGAGGACAGGGCAAGAAAGAGGGTCTTAGCTGCTGAAAAGAGAGAATAGAACCCAGCATAGCAAACAGGGAAGGAAACCGCAGCTCTAAGGAGGAGCACTGGCTCCTCGGATCATCCTACCTCATAGCTGCGCCTATCCTGGGAGGTCAGTTCAAAGCAGGCTTCTTTCTTGGAGTCTCTTCGTAGGTGGGGGGCCATCCGGACACTGTAGCCCTTAATGAGGAAGGTCCCTTTGGGCTGCTTGCCTGCAAGACAGGAAAGCTCCCTGTATCCCTAGAGAGATGCAACCGCCAGGGGAAGGCATCTTCTCTGGTATGTGAAATAAAAGCACAGAAACAGCTGTTACATCCCCGAGGAACCACAACAGTCAAGGAAAGGTTATTAGGGAAGCTTAGGAAGAGGCTACTGCGACAGCCAGGCAGATATCACTGCCAAGCTAGGGAAATGCAACACGAAAGGTTATTTTACCAAAAGAGTCCAACAGAGACAGTGAATTTATTAGAATGTTAAGAGATCTATAATAACAGAAAGAAGGAATTATTACAGTAGGGAGAGTGTGGTTGTAAATGTGAGGCTCTTGAAGGCTATTACAGAGCTGAAACATTATTATCAGGGCCAGCAGAGCTCACATTGAGGGGAGGGACAGCAGCACAGGGGCATTATAAGGTCCTGGAATCTCCTCCCATGCTTTATGTGGCATTTGGGTTAAACTATTCTTCCCCCTCCCTGCTTCTCAGGTGGGAATTTATGCTAGAGGGAGAATAATTAAAACTCAGTATTTCATTCTCCTTTCAAGAGGTCAAATTGGGAAAGAAGCAGAGGACTATACTATTGAGTGTCACTAGATGATAAGGAAAGAGATAAAAGGAAAAGGATCCTAAGGGACAGAAAGGAGACACTATTCTACTTATCACTTTTTCTTCTTTTTTACTTTTTGAAAATAAAATATTAGAAACAGGCAAAGAAGAGGTGGCTCAGAAAGATTTTATGTCAGGCAGGACACATGAAGGACAGCATCCTTAGTGTGAGGGATGCTTGTGTCCCCTGTCAGGTGAAATAAATTGAGTTTGGTTTTTTTTTTTTTAATGATGACGTAAAGAAGAAAGTGGGATGACAAAATTAAAAAAGAAAAGAAGAAAAAAAGACTGTCCTCACCTGGTTGAGCTAAAAGAAACATACGAACACTATACTTACTAAGAAATTGTCCTGGGCGCAATAAGAAGTAACTGTCGAGAAGGGAACCGCGCAACAGTGCTTTTTGACACCAGAATCTTTTTTGTTAAAGTATCTCTCCTTGTTCTAACTGGCCACTAAAATGTTTTGTTGTTTCTTTGGTCACCAGAGTTTATTTCACTCTGACGGCCAAATGGTCAATAAAAGTCTCCGAGCCTCTTGCTCTTTATTCTCCCCCGACCCCCCAGCCCCCGCCTCTTTCCCAGTGAGTGTAAAGGATTCTGAATGAACAGAGAGGATACCTGGCTTTCTATCCAGATATGCCAACCATCTATTTAAATGCAGGAGAAATGATGGCCATTTTTTGCAATGGCTCAAACGTCCTAATAGGTTGAAGAAAAGAACACCTGTCTAGCTCGTGTGCCTGGAGTTCAGAGGGGAAACTGTGGTTGCTGGATTTGAGAGTGGGCTGGGTGGGGATGGGTAGAAGGACAAGGGGGATTTGTTCCTCAGTTTTCAAGGTGTGCTGCTATCAATTCCAAGCAGGGCTTCACACTTTACCCTTGGATGGGAGGGTTCTGAGGAATCCAGGATGGTGACTGGAAGACAAAGGTCAGGGACACCTGCTGCAGGCAGGGAGGCTGAGAAAGGCAACTGCCATGAAGTCAAGGGCAGATCTTAAGGATTCCAGGTCACAGCTCTTTCTGCTACTTTAGTACCTATCAAAGGTGGCAGAAAGTCCAAAGGCAATTGGGCAGGTATTTGATTGTTCTCTAGACCGAATATCCAGGAGAGGAATAGGGTTTAAAAAGGAGAAACAGGCAAAATGGAAAATAATTGGAAGGAAAAAGAAAGTTCTAACTTTATCACTGGCCCCTGTATGAAGGTGGTAGAGCACAGAAAGCCCGGGCAAGAGTGGATGCTTGATTTACTCTCTCTTTTTCTCTTGCTTTCTAAATTACTTCTGGGACTGCCCACCTCTACCAAGCAGTATCCCTTACTTGAAAGTTTGCATTAGTGTACAAAAATAATTTTTAGCTTGTATTTATTTGTAGCTGCCTCAACTTGTGCTTATATCCTTTCCTCTCTCTCGTGAACTAAGCAACTATGTTAAACATGGATGAGAGGTCTTCTAGGGATAGCTCATGAGTGTTGTGCTTGATTGAGTCAGCGGTGGCTCATTAAAAAACTGCCTCTGGCCTGAGTCAACACTTTGCTGCTGCTGCCATCTGGCTGAAGGGTGTCTCTTGGGCACAGCAACCATTTGGGTCTCAACACTCTATGGCTCTAGGGATGTCCACTGGATTACTTCCCAATAGTCAGGCTCAAAGTTTGGAGCAGGCTTTAAGAGAGTGTGAACCCTAGGATTCTTTTTCTGGGCCACTGGTAAGCTGTTTAAATATTTCTCTGAATTATTATTATTGTTATTGTTATTGTTATTATTATTATACTGGAGATCAAGTCCAAGGTCCTGTGCATGCTAGGCAAGCACTTTATCACCAAGCCACACCCCCCACTCCACCTATTCCCCCAATATTTTATATTTTAGCTATCTCATTAATGCCTACAAAGAATTTGAGGTTTCTTTTTTTTTAAGTATACCAACACATTCAATTTGGAAAATATTGTGTTATTGGTCTTAATAAAAGATAATAACCATTTGATATATCAACCATACTATCCTAATGTTTTTGGAACTCTAAATTGACATCTGTTTTTGGTGACTGGAAAGGTATTATTTGCCCAAGCCTCTTTCTTTCTTAAGCGTGTCCCTTTCTGGGTATTAGTTAAGGACTGCTATCTGGAGACCTAAGTGCTTGAGAATTTACGAAGTGCTTGCATCCAGGAGTGAGATGCTGCTGTGCCAATGAAGAACACTTACTTTTCTCATTAGCATAGTAGTAGAAGAAGCCTCTGCTGACAACACACCATCGCTTCTGCCACTCAGAGCCGAAGAAACTATGATCTACACAGAACAGCAGTAGGAGACATAAATTCAGGTAACTACAGTCACTGAAGAGTCCGTAAAATCCAACTATACACAGTCCAGCGTGTTATTGTTTTATTTCCCAGGTTAATGGACTGTAAAACCCTCCCTCTCACTCCCACAGGTTATCCCATATTGACTCAGAGTCCAGAGGACAAGCTCTGTTTAAGGTCCAAGTTCTAAACAGGGTTGCCTGCTCTGTGCCCTCCCAGCTGTCTTTTTATCTAGCTTCCTTTATATCTTTCAGGTTCTAATCTCATCCTGTCCTTTTCAAATTCTCCACAACATCTTTACGTGTTGCCTTTGACAAACCAGAATGATACTCCAGGCCATGGCCATGAGAAAGGTTTCTTTTTTTTGTGGGGGCGGGGTGTGCTAAACCAATTTGTCAGTTGAGTGGCAATCTTGGGACTTCAGTCCTAGTAGTTCCTATTCTATATTCTAATGGAATGAATTTAAATAAAGATCAAGAGTTGGGCTTGTTGGAAATTTGAGTGTGCTGCTTTATGCATGATATAAAAGCTACTCTCTTAGTAAAACAGTTTCTCTACTATAGGAGCACACTGAGAGATGAGAACAAAAATATCATTCATTCATTCAACAAGCTTTATTAAGCACCTGTTTGTAGCAGGCACTGCAAGTACAGGTATGAGCGGAATCTAATCAATCCCCACCCTGAGGGAGCTCCCAGTCAGCTAAGGATTCTGGCCATCTCTCTGCAGTCTACACACAGTAACACCAGACTTCTTGTCTTTCCTCGCATTAAGTTTATCATTTAATGAGTGACAGAGTCCCCTAGACGTCTGTCAAGCACAGTGTTGGGCACAGAGAGGGTACCTGATCAGTTAACCTTTTTTTTTTTTTCTTCTCATTTCCCTTCCGGGAATGTTCTGCTGTCTCTGGGTTGGATCAATACCTTTGCTTTTCTTCTCTAAGTATCCTTGCTTGATGATGTTATCAAGTTCTTGAGCTCCTCTTATGACGTCTTCCATTCCTAAAAGGAACAACAGCAGAATGCTTTGTTGAAACCTGACAAAATTTCACTTAGTCTACTTTAGATAATTCACATTAATGATGGAGTATAAAGGGCAATTGCCTAAACACAGCACAAAATAAAACATTTTCTCTATGATTGGGGAAAAAGTTAATTTTCTCTCTTCCTAATTATATCTAATGCTAATATCACTTAAAATGATCTAAGCATACATTAATTTGTGACAAGAGGAGGTAGCATAACTATGTACTGATTGGCAGGAAAAGGACTCCAGGGAATTAAGAATTTGCTGTGGATATAAGCTACAAATTGGATAATCCACACTGAGATAATCAAAAGTCAAATGGATAGTTATGAGCTCAGAGAAGACTTAATAACTGATAGATTCCACTATAAATGTGGTCACCTCAGAGGGGAAAATGAATATATTCATCTTTTTTCTTCTTTCTTCCTTTTTAAATAAAAAAAAAACCCAGAAAGCCACTCTGTGAACATAAATTTTATTAAGTTCACACAGAGAAGAGCTATGCAAGGTGAACTTGGCAATAACTGCTAAATCTTGGTTTCTTTAAAGAATGGGAAGGAGTCTAAGGGTCCTTAAAGCCTTAACAAAAGAGAAGACCCTGGGCTGGGGATGTGGCTCAGTGGTAGAGCACTTGCCTGGCATGTGTGAGGCACTGGGTTCGATTCTCAGCACCACATAAAAAATAAATAAAATAAGGGTCCATTGACAACTAAAAAAATTTTTAAAAAATGAAATAAAAAGAAGACCCTGGAACTGACATCAGCCTTGAGTTGTATGCTGCTGACATTCTTGGCTTTCAACAGCCTCCTTAGGTACAAATTTATTGAAAAATCAAGATGCTAATCCTCTTCCTCCACAGGGTTCATCCTTATCCTATGGGGCAAAAGACTGAGGGAGGAGTTTATTCCTCAAAAATAAAATAAAACAAGACCCCCCAAATTCTTTAAAGAATATAACCAACCTTCTGTCCCTTTTTTCCTCCCTCTTTTCCTTCCTTTTCTATTTTGTGGTTCAGGATCAAAGCACAGGCTCTACCACTGAGCACACCCCCAGCCCAATTCCACATAAGAAAAACGAAAGGGAGTGGACTAGCAGAATCTAAATATTTACTTGTGTTTTAGTTTTCTAATTCAAATCTCTTCTTTAAAAAAAGTTATAAAGCAAACCAAATACAAAAGAAAGTAAGTCACAATCACCATATGGATCAATCAGGCCATCTATATGCTATCTTGAGACTTTGGGGTGAAATGCTTTTTTCAATAAAACAATTGGCTTTTAAACATCTCCTACAGTGATCAACATTCACTCAGTGGTGGCTATGGGGTGGCACTTGGTTCAGTACTTTACCCACTTTTTGTTTAAAGACTATTTTAAGACTATTTATTTATTTTTGGTACTGGGGCTTGAACCCCAGGGCAGTTAACCACAGCCACAGCCCTAATTCTTTTATTTTTGTTTTGAGACAGAGTCCGGCTAAATTGCTTAGAGTCTGAGGCTGGCCTAAAACTTGCAATCCTCCTGCCTCAGCCTCCTGATTTGCTGGGATTACAGGCACGTGCCCCACTGCACCTGGCCATTTTAAGACAATTTAAAATGCAGTTAGGATTACCTTTTTCTTCTAGGTTGTTTCAAGAACAGTTTTAAAGATATAGATCAGAGGAGCCTTTTTCTTTACCAGTATTCTTATGTGTCTCTTTATTCAATGGGTCCTTATTGTTAACTTCCTTGATTATAGACTATTTTCACTTTTATGTTATATAGTTTGCAAAGGCTGTGGCTGCCGTAAATCCTTCTAGACGGGTCTCAGGGTGTGTGGATGAGATGAACCATAGCAAAGGAAAGTTCATTTTTCTAAGATTCTTTCATTTCTCCTACACCACTGAAAATTCTAATGTCCCTCTGAAAACATGCTCCAAGAATAGCAGATTCTACTGGGGGTGGGACAACAGGTGAGGTGAGGACAGGATGGCCGAGTAGGCCCTTGAAGGAAAGCTAATTTCTGAAGTACTGTTGAAAAATTGCTCCTGGAGACCTAAAATTTAAATGAAAGACACAGGGGATAGGATAAACAGGATCCCCTGAGCTTGGAGTTTCCATCTCTTCTCCCACAAGTTTTTTCTTCCTTTTTTTTTTTTTTTCTTTTTAAAGGTCTTGTTAAACTTAGAGACACAGCTTCTTGTTGAAGATGCCAAGAATCTGAATCATAAAAGACATGTTAAATGTTCTATTAGAATTCAAACCTCCTTTTTTAATGCAAATCTAAATGCCATTTTATGGAACATCTATAATTATGAAAATGGGAAGACATTGCCTCGTGTGCGGGGAGAGTCTGTGAGTATGAATATTACATTAATGTGCCACACCAGCTCACTGATCCTGCTGGCAGGAGCATAAAAAATGCTTGAGTGAAACTTTTATTTAGATGTTAAGACTCCAGGCCCCAGCGGGGTGACAGAGACAGCCCCTGTGAGTTGCCATCAGAGAGAGAGCTTGAATTGAATTACCCAGGGGGGAGGAAGTAGTGATGAGCACTGCTTCGCTTATTTAATTTCATTTACTTTCAGTACATTATCAGCATGAGGCTTTTCTCTCCCCACCAACTGAAACCCAAGAATGTCACCACCAAGAAAACAAAGGCATAATACAGCAGAGATGCTTGAACTCCAAGTCACTAATTCTAGGACAGGAGGGATAGCACCATCCCCACCTTCTCTCCCCTATAGTCAATCTCAGTTTGCTAAAATTGGGCACTGAATGAATTGCTGAATTTTCTCAGTTGGTGGTTTACGAATAAGATTTTGAAGAGTAATAGAGTTGGAAATATTTTAAAAAAATATGATGTGTTTTTGTTCGTAGTAAGATGTGTTATATTGTTCTCATCCTCATTAGAGGGAATTTGTATCAATGAACTCTATTGCTTGGTTTCCCTGATGGGCTGTGGGAAAAAATGGGATTATAGGCAATGTTTAGAATGGCTATGAAATAAAAAATAGGCAATCGGATGAAATCAGTCTCTATTCTATTGACTGTGTAGGCATCGTGGTGAGTACAATGACAGAGTTGTTTTCCGTGTCAAGTTGACTCAGCTCAATCTCATTAGCTTTCTGATCTATCAGACAAATCCACACATGATGATGGGTAGCCATTGTGACCCTGAAGTCATCTCCTATTTCATTGTTAGTTCAGAGTCCTACTGATCAAGAACTGGTGGATGCACAAGTCCGGCCAGGCCATGGGGAGATGAGGCAAGAGGAGTCTTATGTGCCTGGATCCACACCTACTGGCAAACAAACAGATCTGCCCAGAGCTACTTAATGTATAGTAGAGGGTATGTAAATGCTTTGCAGGATGATATAAAAAATAAGAACTCACAAACAATTTTAGAAGTTGCTATTTTAAGGCAAAAAATTATAAATAAGTATATAATTAAAAAAGAGCTTTTTGTTTATTTCCTGCAAAACGATATTATCACCATAATAAAAAACTAGAGATGATTTCAATTTACTGGGAATAAATGACCCTCTTGGATAAAACTAAGGGTGTATCACATTATATCAGCACAAACCAGAATTGTGTTAGTGTCATAATCTTTCTCTACCACTGTGCTTAACTAAATCTCTCAGAATAACCCATATAAAGAAAAGATTCACTTAGCTGAAGGATATGGGCCATAAAGATAAGATCAACAGAGAAGTGTGTTATCCAGAAGTGATGGCCACCCAACTTCCATGGCAGATGAAGATAAAAGAAATTCTCAGACATCCTTCTCTCTTCATTCAGATTCCTTTAAACCCTTGAGTCCCACCCACACCCAACTCTGCAATAAAGAAAGACAGGATAGGATTCCATCTCTCAGCACTAAACATGACTCTTCAGTCAGCTATGCACGGCAACAACAATAGGGACCCTTTGGAGTGTGATACATTTCCATAAAGCAGTCAATAAAAAAAGACATGGGAGCTTATGTGAGTCACGGCCTATTTAACCAGCTGCGTTCTAGCCCACTGAGAAAAGAGAATTGGAGAAATCAGTTGGCAACGCCACAGCAAAAGGCTAATAGCACGGGAGGCCACACAATTTCCACTGCAAAAAGGCTGCAGCTCCTGCAGAACAAACCAGGTATCCACTACCTTCCTTATAGGCAGCTGCTAAATCAACCTGAAGAGAAAAATCAACGATTTTTAAAAACATCTTTTGTTCAAATCTTCCCCTGTTAAAATTGTGGACTTTTCCTATCACCTCCTTCCTTCCAATTCAAGTTCTTTTCAACTGTTTAAAAAAAGGAACAAACCAAACCAAGCCTGGAGACCAATAGCTATCAGAGCTAAATTTCAGGCAGGTTGAAGTTAGTAGGTTCCTTCATTAAAGTACCCATGTATAGAACCTGGGGATTTGGGTAGATGAGGTTGGAGAAAATATCATATTAGAAGGCTAAGAATAGTCAAGTTCCATTCTGCGATTCGAGTCACAGCAGCTATGTGCCCTTCTGCAGACTTGTGTGAAGACAGACACCTGCAAGATCTCAAATGTGTACGGGTGAAGAGGGTATTGCAGGTAGGGTGGGGTCAAGATAAGTTTCTCTTGTCTGATGGCTGTCTATCCCAAATTACTTCATTAAACTTTCTCTCCTTTGCTTTGGGTCTCCGTGACTTTCTTTAATACATTCATTACTGTTTTTCCTTAGCTTCTTATTTTTTCCTTGGTTACTTTTTTGCCTTTTTCTCAATTTTCAGGAAGCAGTCAATAAATGATAGCCTGTTTGTGGTGTCTGGCAAGAATTGTGCATCCCTGTTACTAACAGGGGAGTTGGTTCAATGACTTCCTCTGTTAGTCCACTGGTGCAGTCTTGTATAATTCCTTAACTTCAATGGTTCTGCTTGATATTCACTTGGGTTGACATTTATTCAGCGTATTTTTCTGTCATTGTGCTTCATGTATGAAGGAATTTAGATAAATGCATATAAGGTGAAAAATT